GATTTCCCACAAGGCCAACCAAGGCCCCGCTTCGGGGCAGCAGGGAGTAGAGGAGCAGCAGGGGTGTGGAATTCCTATCTCCCGATGCCCGGGACATGCAGTTCCGGGCACCAGGCCTGTAGTTGTTTTCTACATTTAGCCCTGCTTTGGTAGGGGGGGCACATTGCAGAACCTGGCCTTGGGGCGGCAGGGAGAGTAAATCAGGCCCTGCCTGTACTGAAAAAATACAGAGGCTGCCATTACTGGGCTCTTTCTACATATACTAGTTGCCTGGCTGCATCTGGGTTCCGTCATTTATCACTGAACCTGACAAAATATGTATACAGAGCCAAAATTCCTTCTCTGCATACTTGCTCTGGGTCTGTGGCTAAGTAATGAAGCCATTGGACGGGCATGACAACCAAGCAATTTTTGAAGAAGCTAATTCAGCATTCTGGTATGATAAGCCATAAAGCAACATAGACTCACCTGACATTTCAGAGCATCATGTAGGTCATGTTCATACATCTGAGAGGGAGCCTGCCAAAAAGAAAAATGGCACAAATTATTATGCAGTTTGAATGCAGGTGTGAATGGGGTGTGAATGGGGTGTGAATGGGGTGTGAATGGGGTGTAGTGGCAACAATCCCTTTCAAAACTAAGGTATCAGAGAAACATAGAAGACTAATGGCAGATGAAGACCTAGTGGTCCATGGTGACTGTTTTTTAAATTATTTTTATCTACGATTGTCTGCCGAACAATGTTTACGCCAAGCACGTCATTTACTGTGGATTGCCTCACTTGCTGGAGTCTGTTACACGCATCTACTACTCTTTTGGTAAAATAATGTTAATTTTGAACTTTCCTCTTGCTAGTTTGAAGTCATGCCCCCATGTTCTTCAGCTTAGGTTTATATTGGGAATACTGTCCTATCTGAAGCCAAAAACATTTTAGTTTTTTTTGGTAGACTAGGGAATGGTTAGAACCCCTGTCAGGAATTGGTTGCTGTCTGTGTCCATGGAGGAATGAAAATTTCTCTATTTGTTCTTTTGACTGTTGTCCTTAGAAGAGAAAGTCATGTGAAATCCAAACATTTACAGCTGCCACTGGAACAGGAATAGAGAGGAAATCTTTCAATGGGGACACCTGTTTTGGTGACAACTGTCTTATAGGGGATTTCTTAATAGGGTTGATTTTCACTCACTTCCTGTTGTGTCTCAGGTTGGAAATAAAAGAATATCTCCTCAGTGGGACATAGACTGACCATTCCCGACTTATGCAAAACCAAGGAAAAAGAAAAAGCTTTTTAAAAAAAAATTACACTGCAACCCTAATAAATATTAAAATAAATGACATATAATAAATATATATATATATATATATATATACACACACATACATATATAGAGATATAATACCACACCAATTGTCTCGCCAACCCTCATTGTTTGCAACAATTTGTCTGTCCCAAAACCACACACATGTACGTTTGATCCCAGTCTGAGATATTAGTTTATACCCCATAATCATGGCAACAACCATGAAGCACAATAAATTATTACACATTTTTGGATAATGTTCACTTATATATCGTTACCCGTGGCATTTCATATTATGGGCACCGTTCAGAAATGACACATAGTGTGTCATCATTAGCCTATTAATAGCTGCATCCTTGCATAGGAGGTAGCTGATCCCCAAGACAGTATGCCCTTTGTCAATGCAAAATGCTGCAGCCACATTTTTATAGGCGCTTATTGCAATTTATAAAGCAGAACGCTCCTTTAAATATTTTATGTGGCATTAAGCAGAATCATAATAGCTGTTAGCATCAAGCTTTGGAGAGTCAACAGGAAAGCCGCACAATGAACTTGGAAGTTAAAAAAAAACAAGAATTCTCTCAACAATGACAAAAGCGACCCCCAGAGTTGATAGCAGGAACAATAATTTCCAGGCAGAGACAGGTAAATTAACCTTCAATGGTGACTAGATAAATGGATGCAATAATGCGTGTATTCCCTATGTACAAAGAAGAATTTAGGTGAGAGTAAACAGTTGTATGTAAATATAAAACCGTGACGGGGCTTCCCCGGTACCACTAAGAATATAAAAATGCCTGGTCTGCTGAGTCGCCATTAGGTGTGAATGCAAAAACATGGAAGGAAGAATTCTGAAAGTGGATCCTGGCGATTTTTTTTTCCAACACAGTATTTTTAAGCACTGTTATTTCCAAGAAATTCTAATTTATAATATGGGGAGGATTTTTTTGGCACAGGCTCCAGTGCAGATGTTATTCCTTAAGGAAGACGGTCTTGATTGCCTGGGTGAATAATGACCAGGCCCTGGCACTGAGCCAGGAGTCCTCTTACAGCAGAATGTAGAAAACCACTCTCCTACAGAAAGAGGCCCCCAGAAGGATAATATATTATTACGCATGATTCAAATTACAGGATCTGCAGCAGGGGAGTGAGTGGCTGAACCAAGACACAGCCGCTGCACACGGAATACTGATGATGAGATGATGGAATGCATGGCTCACTGAAAGAGCCACAGTTTACTGGTAGCCTTCTCTGCATTCTCTCCAGAGTCACCGCGTGCCTGACTATGGGTCCGGCTCATTTTTTTTTTTACCACTGATAGAGACCTTTTGAAAGCTTTCGCTGGGATTTGCAATTTCATTTTATTTGATTTTTTTACATTTTTTTTCAACTCATTTCAATCTACTGAATTAAAAAAAAATGCAAAAATATTTATTCTATTTTTTTTTTTTAA